TTTTAACTTGTTCATTCATGATTTGGAGTTGGGAGTAAGCAGTGAAGTGGCTAAATTTGCAGATGATATGAAGTTGTTCAGGGTGGTGAAAACCAGGGAGGATTGTGAGGCACTCCAAAGGGATCTGTCGAGGATGGGCGAGTGGGTGTCAACATGGCAAATGGAGTTCATTGTGGCCAAGTGCAAGGTGATGCACATTGGAGCCAAAAATCCTAACTATAAATACACATTGATGGGGTCCGAACTGGCAGAGACTGACCAAGAGAGAGATCTTGGAGTCCTAGTAGATAACTCACTGAAAATGTCGAGACAGTGTGTGACTGCAATAAAAAAGGCCAATGCTATGCTGGGGATTATTAAAAAGGGTATTGAAAACAGATCAGCCAATATCATAATGCCCCTATATAAATCAATGGTGCGACATCATTTGGAATACTGTGTACAGTTCTGGTCACCACACCTTAAAAAGGATATTACAGCATTGGAAAAAGTGCAGAAAAGGGCAACTCAAATGATAAAAGGGTTGGAACACTTTCCCTATGAAGAAAGGTTAAAGTGGAGAAACGACGGCTGAGGGGTGACATGATTGAAGTTTATAAGATTATGCATGGGATAGAACAGGTCGAGAAAGAAGTGCTTTTCTCCCTTTCTCACAATACAAGAGCTCGTGGGCACTCCATGAAATTGCTGAGCGGTCCGGTTAGAACAGATAAAAGGAAGTACTTCTTCACCCAAAGACTGATTAACACATGGAATTCACTGCCACAGGAGGTGGTGGTGGCTACAAGCATGGACGGCTTCAAGAGGGAATTAGATAAGCATATGGAGCAAAGGTCCATCAGTGGCTATTAGCCACAAGGTATAGATAGGGGCTCCGGGGCAAGTGATGCTCTGTATTCTTAGTGCTTCCTGATGGCACCTGGTATTTTTGGCCACTGTGTGACAGAGTGTTGGCCTGACCCAACATTGGCTTCTCTTATGTTCTTATGATTTTTGGCCTTAATCCCCACCATGAATGGACCTATTTCCTGGCTGCCCCAGGTCTGTGGGAAACTCTTTATTTACTTCACTTATAACCGGTTTTTCTCCCCAGTGTGGAATCAAAGTGTCTTACAACATTATCTCCTTCTTAGTTTTATCCTCACAATAACAATCCTGTGAGGTAGGTTAGTAGGGTTGCCAGGTCTTACCTGGCTGCTGGCTGGATGAGTGTGTGTCTTTCTCTGGGAGTTCTTCGGCGCGCACGCCACGATGACATCACCCAGAAGTGACGTCATTGTGCAGGGTATGTTGCAGGGGATGCTCTATCGTTTAAGGAAAAAGCTCTGGTCTTTCCTTAAATGACCGAGCACCCCCCCTCCCACCAACATGTCTGCCACCTCTGACGTCTCTTCCGGGTGACATTATTGCACCAGGCCCGTTGGGGCAAAGTCCAGGCCTCTTTTTGTAGCAGGAACTCCTTCGCATATTAGGCGACACACCCCTAACGTAGCCAATCCTCCAAGAGCTTACAGAGCTCTTCTTACAGGGGCTACTGTAAGCTCTTGGCGGATTGGCTACATTAGGGGTGTGTCGCCTAATATGCAAAGGAGTTCCTGCTACAAAAAGAGCTGACCCGCAAACAAGACGCTTTGGGGGTGGGGTTCCCATTTCCCCATCTTAAATAAAACTTTGTTAGTCTTAAAGGTGCCATTGAACTCAAACTTTGTTCTGCTGCTTCAGACCAACACGGTTACCCACCTGAATCTATCTTCATTGGAAATTAAGGCTTATCTCCACACCTGCATTGTAATTAACTGAAACCCCTGTTAGAAGCAGAAGTAATTTGGGTGCCCCCCCCACCCCACCATGTGGGAACCCTGTAGGTTAGGCTGAGAGTGTGTGATTAGCCCAAGGTTACACAGCCAGTTTCTGTAGCAGATTGGGGATTCAAACTCGGGTCTCCTAAATTTGAGGCTGTCACTCAACCATGATATTCATACTGACTCTCATTTGTTTGGTAGATTGTTGTGGATGCTCGTTTAGTATAGTGTCATTCCTATTGCCTGTTAGAAAGATGGTAAAAACAACCTTTTCTCAGGTCTTTGATTTCTGTAGATGCAAGTTAGATATTTCTGCTCTGTGCACGGTGGTTGCTGAGGCAACGTGGATGATTTTGCTGGGGATTTTTGATAGTTTCATAGTTTTTACTATCATGCTATGTGTTTTTGGTTCCCCCCCACCCAAATAATTCCTAATATTTTTAACTACACATTGCCATTCAGGTTCTGGAGTTTATTGTAAGCCTCTTTGGGAGGTTTGTTTTTAATATAACTGAAAAGCAGGATAAAATTTAGCTACCGTCCTGGGGGGAAATGTCATGTCCCTTTCATCACAGGTTTAATGTGTGGAAGTGGGCAGCTGGAGATTTCCCTGGCATGGAAACAACTAACATCACCTAGGAAATAATATCCCATTAAGCCTCTATTATAAGAACATGGCATTTTTTCTCTAGGCCAGATGTGCACCTTAGTAAAAATGTTTTAATAAATACACATTAGGGCTGTCAACCAAGTTTGAGCTGATTGATACATCTCCTTTTAACAAATTAGCTGATTTAAATAAATGTGTGCATTGCTAAAGCCTCTGTCAGTGCATGAGGGTTGTGAAGGGTTGAAGATGTGTGAGTGAAGGTATGGTGTAATAGACAAATGCTACATGACTCACTGTTAGAAGAAAAGGATCCCTGTAATACTTTGTTTTTTCCCCAGTTCCCTGTAACAGTAATGCCACAGAACCAAAATAGCTTCAGGAAATAAGCCCAACTAGCTTTAACTCTTTACCCTGCTGATTAAAATTGGCCCCCAACACCAATTAATCAACTCAGACTGTCACTGCTTAGACCAGCTGATGCCTGCATTTCAACTAAGAGCAGCTTTTTATCTTTAATTACTTTTTGGGGATAAAATGTGCCATATAGGTTGAAAGATTTTACTCGAGAGGAAGACACAAGGCTATTTGTTTCAAACTTAGAGCTGATAGGTGTGGATATTCTTGTTCCCATTGTTTATAGCCTTAAGGTTATGAGCTCCTTGTTGTCATAAATGTGGAGGTCCTCCTCCAGAAGAGATGGCCTCTGTTGTAATAAAAATGGTGCATGTGGTGCTGCTGTATTGTCATAATATAAACTCTGTTGACACTCTGGTGATGGAAAGTGCCATCAAGTCACAAATGACTTACGGCAACCTCATAGAGTTTTCAAGACAGGAGACAAAAACAGAGGTGGTTTTGCCATTGCCTGCCTCTGTGTAGCGACCCTGGACTTCCTTGGTGGTCTCGCATCCAAATACTAACCAGGGGTTCATTTTTGAAATCTGACAGTCCTGGGTCGTCCAGGCCAGGGCTGTTGATACGGTGTAGGAAATTAAAAACAAACACCAGCCACTACATATAGATGTAAATCTGTGGTTGCATTGAATACTTAATGCCCTGTGACAAAACGTGAAGGGGGTTAAGCAGGGGACCAGGAGGATAAGACTTCTTTCACACTGCCACAATTTGAACTCTCTGTGTACATCATTGCTACCAATTTTGGGCTCATTCTGTTCCTTTTTTGTGTACGTTATGTGAAAGGTTGCAGCAGCAGAAGTCACATGAATCTGAGCAAACTATATTAGGTACTTTTTATGGTGGTTATTCCAGAAGAAGCACTTTCCTTTGAGACCATCGTGTTTTAAGAACAGGAGTACATTGTGCTCTCAATCCCTGAGTCAGTGTGAATTTCTCGGATTCAGACTGACCTTTCAGTTCCAACACAAAAGCAGCATGTTTTCCAGCATTCTCTCTCTTTCCTCAAACAGTTAGAATGTTTATGAACATTATATGATATCAGTGCAGCTTAGCCAATGGCGTCTGAGGAGCTGGCAGGTGAAAGAAAATGTTTGGGCAATTATAAGGTTGATTTGTGCTGCAGGGCTGATAAGGGTTCATCCTGGTTTGCTAGGATGAGGGGTATCTATTGTGGGAAAATTTGAACATGCCTGATATAAAAACAGAAAAAAGGATGGAGTTTCCTTCACTAGTGTGGCACTTCAGTGGCAAAGACATAAAGCTGTCAGTAATATCTTTATACCAAGTCAGATCAGTGGTCTGTCAGGTTCGGCACTCTCTACTCTTGCTAGCAACAGCTCTCAGAGTCTTGGGCAGAACAAGGCCTTTCAGAACATGACAGGGGCCATGGGTCTCAGTAGCAGAGCATCTGCTTGGTGTGCAGAGAGTCCCCGGTTCAATACTGGCATCAGTAAGACAGGGAGAGGAAAACAAACCTGACCCAAAAACTGGAATCAAGAACCAAAAGGGTGAGAAGAAAGTCTAATGAAGGGCCAATATTAAAAACCTAGTTAAAACTTATAATATACAAAAATGCAAGTATTTATTAGAAAGACAGTTAAAAACATACATAAGGGCCCAATGAAAGCCTCGTAAAAAACTATATCCTAAACACAAGGGCCAATACACATGACCTGACGCGTGTCTGCCCTATTGGGGGTCTCTGAAGAAGAAACGCGTCGGGTCATGTGTATTGGCCCTTGTGTTTAGGCTATAGTTTTTTACGAGGGTTTCATTGTCTTTCTAATAAATACTTGTATTTTTGTATATTATAAATTTTAACTAGGTTTTTAATATTGGCCCTTCATTAGACTTTCTTCTCACCCTTTTGGTTCTTCAATCCTTGGCATCTCCAGTTGAAAGGGCCAGACAGCGGATGACGTGAAAGATGTCAGCTGGAGACCCTGGAGAGCCCCCTGCCAGTCTGAGTAGATGAAATTGACCTTGATGGACCAAGGCTCTGATTCAGTACGAGGCAGCTTCACATGTTCAAGTGTACCTCTGATCCTTTCAAGGATTGAGCCTGAGACCTTCAGCGTGCAAAGTGCATTCTCTGCCACCAAGCCGTGGTGCTCTTGAGACTGATGTAATTCCTTCCTCACCCGGTGTGCAATATGGGTTCTGTCTTGCAGATGAGCGAGAGGCTGTGCAGAAGAAAACCTTTACCAAATGGGTCAACTCTCACCTGGCCCGAGTCACTTGCCGTATCAGTGACCTGTACAGTGACTTGCGGGATGGACGGATGCTGCTGCGCCTTCTGGAGGTGCTCTCGGGGGAGCAGCTGGTAAGTGGCTGAAACGGAGACATCATTAGCACTGAGGGAGAGGAGGGGGGATAACTTGCTGAAGCCAAAACAACACATTGCACATTGTTTTTTTTTGGGGGGGGGCGGAATCTAAAATTTTAATTTTTTTATTTTTCAGACCACTGTAAAAAAATAATAATCCTGCCTCTTTGAAAGTTTGTTGACAAGAGTGCTTAGATGATAATGTGAAGTATTAGCTTGCCACATTCAGTTTACACTTTCTTTTTCTTTCTTTTTGGAAGCAAATTAGAGTTAGGTCAACTTGCTTGAAAACCGACTCTCCCAGGGCTGAGGTAGAGGGAAAAGTAGTGATAGGATCAGACATCTGGCAGCATTGACTGAGATAAGAGTTGCATTGAATAACCGACAGGTGAGACTGCCAACAGGCTTGGAGAAAAAGGCCCCTTTAATAGAGGCTTAATGAGATGTTATTTGTATGCTGTGAAAAACCTTCAATTGGTCCATCCACATGTTAAGCCTCTGTTAAAAGGACAGGACATTTTCCCCCAGACCTATTGGCAACTCTGCCCCAGAGGGCTTTGTCAGTACCACAGTGTTTTGCATTAAAAGTTGGTGGGTATTTTAGCTCTGCACCTGGCCCGTAGAAACTCCTGTTCCCTGATGCTTAGACGATATCTCCCTATGCAAAAGCCAACACCAAACAGAAGGGAACAACGTCCACCAAAGCCCCCAGAAAGACTGAGGTTACTTGAAAATAAAACATATGGATGAAAGAGTTGTATCGCTCTTTAAGGGTCATTTTAAAAAAATAACTCATGCTCAGACTGTGCATGTCAATGGCATGTGTCCTACCACTGCGTTGAGCAACATTTCAGACCTTTCTCCAGCCTGAAGAGTTTCCCTCCAACTGAAGTGGCTCTTCCTCCAACGGAAGAGCCACGTAACTTGGAGGAAGGCTCCTGAGGCCAAGGAACTTCCTTCAGCCTAAGGTAGAACTAGGGATGCCAGCCTCCAGATGGGACCTGGGGATCCCCCAGAAATACAGCTCCTCTCCAGACTACAGAGATCAGTTCCCCCGGAGAAAATAGATGCTTTGGAGGGTGGACTCTGTGGCATTGTATCCCACTGAGGTCCCTGTCCTTCCCAGGCTCCATCCCCAAATCTCCAGGAAATCTGGCAACCCCGCCCACCCCCCCCACCCACCCTGATGCCCTGCTAGTGGCCAAGTGGGACCTGGCAGCCCTAGGCAGAACACATAACAATGTTTTTCAGAAAGCAATCCAAAATAGGTCTGTTCTGTGAGGCTTATTCCAAGGAAAGTGTTCTTAGGATTGCAGTGTGAATATTCTCAGGATGCAAGGGTGTAAGGTATTAAGCCTCATTAGGAAATGCATAAATAAGTAATGGCACACTGTTTCTAATGGGTTCCCCCCCCCCCCGTGATAAGAGGCTCACACAAATCCACTCCCCCATCTGTGGTTCAATGCAGTTCTTCCTTAGGCCTCATCCTTTCCCTTTCCTAGCTGTCATTCACTAGGGGTTGCCAGCTCTGTGTTGAGAAATACCCAGAGATTTTGGGGCTGGAGCCTGAGGAGGGGAGGGCTTGGGGAGGGGAGGGACTTCAGTGGGGTATTATACCATTGAGTCCACCTTCCAAAGTATCCATTTTCTCCAGGGGACCTGATCTCTGTTGCCTGGAGATCAATTGTAATCCTGAGCAGTGTTCCCTCTAAGCTGAGTTAGTGTGAGCTAGCTCACAGTTTTTTAGCCTCCGGCTCACACTTTTTTGTCTTAGCTCAGGAAGAATGGCTCCAGAGCAAACTAATGTATGCAGTAGCCAAATAACGCTCACAATTCTAATGCCAGTAGCTCACAAAGTGGAATTTTTGCTCACAGGACTCCACACCTCAGAGGGAACATTGATCCTGAGAGATCTCCAGCCACCACCTGGAGGTTAGGTCAAGGACGAGAGATCACGGGACAGGCTGAACTTAGTAAGGAAAAACAACCATGATATGATAACTAAATCTTGTTAGGGGAAATCTATCTTCTCTAATTCTCTAGCAAGTAGCAACTCATTAAGGGTGTTTCTGTTTCACTCAAGGTTTCATCAGATGAGACCTTACACCTTTCGTATTTTTTCTGCAGCTTTTTTCTGCTCCCTCTTCCTTTCTAACAAACACAACAAAATGATGTCGTTAGAAAGGAGCAGAAAAAAGTCGAGTGAAACGGTCTATTGAGCGCTGTACCGTCAGAAAAACTTGAGACCAATTTACCTCAAAGGAAACACCTTTAATGAGTTGCTACTTACTGGATAATTAAAGAAGATATATTTCTCCCTAACAAGATTTCATTATCATATCACGGTTGTTTTTCCTTACTAAGTTCAACCACCTGGCAGCCCCACTGTGTGGATTCCTCCCCAGGACATCCCCTCCATCTCTCTGTGCCCTGCTGATTTCCTCTTCCAAAAGTTTGTGGACTCTGTTCAGAATCCTCTTGTGGCATTTGGGAGATTAGGGAGTGATTTCCCCTCACAAGCATGCTAAATGTCAGCGTTTTAAGTTGTGTGGAAATATGCAAACAGCTTTGGTACCCCTCTGTGGATGACTCACTAAGTGAAACCTCAGTATCTAATATCTGTAGCTGTCTAATTATGTGATGAATGCTGATGGTATGATGACAGCGACAAGAGAAGCAGAAATGATTTTCCCACTCTCATAATACTAAAGCCCTAGATGTGCAGCAGATCAAGGATAAGCAAAAGAAAGCACTTCTTCACACAACACGTAATTAACATGTGGAATGCACTACCACAGGCTGAGGCAATGGCTGTTATCGCTAACCTGCGCACACATGCAATGAAATGGGACAACGGGGCGCCATGATAGAATTCTGGACTACAGTGATTCAGGTGGCGGACTCTGTTTTTAAATAATCCCCGATGGAAAAAGAAGGGGGAAAACATCCAGAAAGTAAATAATTAGTACATCAACAAAAATGAGGTGCTAATTTTTTTCTCCCTAATGTATTGACTTACTTTACATGGTAGGAGGTTATTAAAAATGTGATTCCATGCTTGCATTCTGAAGTGGTGCAGTCCACCTGACGGCTTCATTCTGCTGCATGTCAAGATCCGTTCCAAGAGGGCTCTGAAAAGGAAGCCGTAGTGCAGGGGTGTCAAACATAAGGCCTGGGGGCTGGAAGCAGCCCATCCAGGGCTCTTATGCGGCCCACAAGCAACTAGTGCAAGGGAGGGAACAGGAGACTGTTTGGGAGGAGTGGGAAGAGCCACTCCGATTGTGGCTTCAGCATGGTGGAACAACCTCATCTGCAGCAGTCAAGCAGTGCAGGAATGTCTGCCCAGTGCTACACTGCTAGGTCTCCAGTCCGTCTATATGGGTTTTCCTTTGGACCTCCCTCCCAGCCCATGGGGCCTTGCAGTGATGATACACCAACTCAGAGCTTACCAGCTGCTGTCCTTTATACAGTTTATATCTCCGGTAGTGGTTTTATGGCACACATGGCCCGGCCCAACAAAGTAATATTTATGTCAGATCTGGCCCTCATAACAAATGAGTTCGACACCATTGTGGTTAGCCATGATAGTTAAATGGAGCCTCCATGTTCAGGGTTTGCATATCTCAGATTACCAAACGGCAAGGGCTTGCAGAAAGGGGTAGCAATCCCCTTCATGTGGGGAGCTTCCCAGAAGCAGTGGATGGGCTGCTGCTGGAAACAGGTCTTCATAAAGTAAGGCAATTCCGATGCCATTACACTGGGCTGGATATGAAATAGGAGAAGTCTTTTCATAGCATAGATGCCTCTTTTGTGCTCCCAGCCCACATCCGTTTACTTTGAGGCTGCACGTGCTAGCTTTTATTCACAGATGCCAGTGAACAAAAGTGAAACAACATTACATAAAACAGGCAGTTAGGGTGTTCTCTGTTAACAACCCATTCTAGATGCTGGCTGTCGATCACGCTGGAGTGTGACGGAGTGTTTGCGACTGGGTTTTATATGCATAAAAAATCCATTTCCTTATGTTAGCACTTTAGAGTGGGGGTAGGCAACTGTTTTGGCATAAGTACCCCCTCCAAAGGCGGGTGTGTCTACTGTATTTGTTTGTTTATTGGCCTGCCCTCCCTTGTACAACAGGGCTCAGAGCAGGTAACAACATATACATAAAACAATATCTATAAATTTTAAATATTAAAACAATCTTTATAATTAAGATGGCATATGAGACAGGGAAGTCTCCCTTACAGGGAGAGAGAATAAATATTCTACATTTAGTCAATAAGGAATTAACAGACAGGGAAAAAGAAGGGAGAGGCCAATGTAGAATGGAAACTGTCACTGCCCTCAGCCGTAAGCCTGGCTTAACATCTCTGTCTTGCGGGCCCTGTGGAACTGCATCAGATCTCACATGGCCCGGATCTCACTTGGCAGAGCGTTCCACCAGGTCGGATTTTGGCCAGGGCTGAAAAAGCCCTGGTTCTGGTTGAGGACAGCCGGATATTTTTGGGGCCAGGGATCACCAGTAGATTGTTTTCCATTGAACGTAAAGCTCTTTGGCGGATATACCAGGAGAGGCGGTCCCAAAGGTATGCTGTTCCCATACTGTTTTGGGCTTCAGAGGTTAATACCAAAACTTTGAACCTGATCCGGTATTCAACCTGGAGCCAGTGCAGCTGGCGGAGCACTGGTTGAAGATATTGGTGAAGATATTGGTGTCCTGGCAAGCAACATGGACATGGAGATAAGGGTGATACTTGGCAAGACGTTAGGAGCAAGCCAAGCGAGGCTGCCAGCATCTCAGGGATTCACCGTGGACCTGGCTGATGGCAGGGCAGGTCTGGGAGACGGTGACAGGCATAAATTGTGCCTGTTGCCTTCTTCGGCAGTGCTTCATTCTCTTGGGCAGAGATCTGGTCTCAGGTGCCAACCAAAATGGTCTGGGTTGCTACTGTTGGCACATGCGCAGGGGGCTGCCTACCCCTGCTCTAGAATGACCG